GGCGGCTCACAAATCGCCCCGTGCAACAGGTTTCCCAGAAGCAGGCTGAGCGGCTGGGCTCCCGCTGCCTCTCCGCTAGACCCGCTCAGGCAAAACTCTCATTTTTGCACAAAACGCGTCGCCAACGCCCAGCGCCTTCCCCTGCGGCCTCTCCCCGGGGCAGCCCCTCGGAGGTAGAGGGGGAAAGAGGAGAAGAGGTTTCTTTACATCGCCTCTTGCACAACGCGGCTGCCCAGCTCGCAGCAGCTGCCGCCGAGCCCTGACGCAACGTTTCACCGTTTGACGCGTTTCTAGCTCAGGTTCTTTCCCCGCATCGCAACCCCCTGCTCCAAGCGGCGTTTCCAACCCCGGCACCAGCAGTAAGAACCAGACTGTGACTTTTAAGCAGCAGTAAGAACAACAAAAAAAAGAGTTGCATAATTTTCAAAGAAAAAAAGCCCGTAACTGTTGTAAAAGCAGAGGAGAAACCTGGTGGATTTGACGAGACCCAGATGAGAGGCTTTAGAAAGCCCTGATGGTTTTTGAGAAGTGCCGAACTCGGGAGCCTCCTGCAAAGCTGCTAAAGGGGATGGAAAAGGGGCAATCAGAGTTCTTGAAAAAGTGATACGTTACTTCTGGTCAGACCGCCAAAGAGTTTTATTTTTAAAAGCGATCTTCCTCTCCCTACCTACCCGCTGATCGAACAGGAAGGAGAAACGCGGGTGCTCAGACAAAGCAAGAAATACAACCGACCTAGGGCTGTTAACTAGGGCATAAGACAGCGTAAGGAAGCGAAAACACCTCCAAAAAATCAGATTTCTCCCCAAAGGTTTTCACCAACAAGGTACATCTGAACGTTAACTCCCTGCTGTTCCCCCCCCCCCTTTTTTTAGGGAGGCAAAACAGAGCCAGAGAGCTCTGCTCAAACAAAATCCTAAGCGGGGAGGACACAGCAGGGTCTTACTGGTCTTAATATTTAGCGATTCCTCGAGTTGTTCTGCGGAAAGCCGGGATGCTGCGCTCGCTCCGTGCCCCGTAAGGCGCCGGCGAGCCCGAGGCGAGGCAGAGCCGAGGCCCCCCGGGGCCG